GCCCCCAGGGCCTGTTTGTTTTTGCACAAGGTGGAAAAGAGAGGCTATGAGGACTGTGGAAAAGCTTGGCATTCCTTAGTGCCAGGGGCTCTGTGGCTGGAGAGGCAGGTGGGCAGCTCCCCTTGGGTCCAGCCAGCAGCCCAGCCAGTCTCCAGGACCTTCCCTGCCTGTGTCCAGTGCCTGGGGTCAGGTGTGGGCTTAGGGGATCCCTGGCCTCTGGCCTTACCAGGCTGGATGTAATGTCTGGCTTCGTGGGCACTGAGCGGCAGCACTGTGGGCAGCCCTGCCAGGGAGCGGATAGCCTCCATGCGCAGGAAGCATCTGGTGATGTAGATGTTGTCGAAATCATTCCAGTTCAGGTAGGCATACCAATAAAACAGGGCTCTAGAGGGAGAGCACACGGAAAACCTCTGGTACCTGGGTCAGACCCCTGGGGAAGCCCACCTGGCCCTCAGCCTCCCAGGATGCCAGCTGAGCTGGCCTTGCAGTCCTCACTGGAGGTAGAGGAGTGTGAAGAGCAGAGGCACGGCGTAGCCCATCAGAGCCAGGACCTCACGGAAGCCATGCAGCTTCAGGCTGATGGCCTCATGGAGGTCCAGAGCCACTTGGGAGAGGCTCCGAGAGGCATTGAGATCCACGGAGAAGTAGTGGGTGACTGTCATGTTGAACTCAAACTCCTGACGGACCCGGTTAATCAGCTTCATCACAGCTGAGGCCAGCGGAAGATGTGAATGGGGAGAGTTAGCAGGACTGAGCTGTAGGCGTGGGGGGCTGTCACAGCGTAGGGGTCACAAAGTTCACAGGTAGCCAGAACTTTCAGGGCTTGGGCCTACCGTGGACTGGGAAGAAGGTGGGACCTTCGCCAGCACCACCGCCAGTGAACGCTGAGTGCCCAGCATTTCATCTGGCTCACAATAGTCAAATAAGCATCCATCTGTATGCCCTACGCTGGGGGATGGAGATGGGGGAGGTCGGGTCCTGTTCTCAGCTCCTTGTCTAAAGTCTGGCTTTTCTCAGGTGCCTCTCTCTCCTCCACTTGCCTCAGTTTCCTAATCTGGACAGCAATGGAGGTAACCTCTTGAGGCCCTATCCTGCTTTTGCTTCTCATTTATGACCTGACAAGGGCTGGGAGGGGCCACTCACGGGTGCCGATGGTCTTGCGCAAGAAGGGCTGGATGTACTTGGGGATGATGCAGAACACCTGGACCACTGAGCGGGGACTGCAGTCAGGAGGAGGGGCAGAGATAGCGCTGCCCCAGCCCTCTCTGGGGCCCGCGTCTCAAAGGACTTCCCACTTTTCCTATTGGCTTCTTCCTGTTCTCTCAACCCCCAACATTCATCTCTCCCTCCATCCGGAGCCCACAATCCTCAGGGCTCACTGTGGGTGCTCCTAGGCCCACCCTCCCACCTGACTCTGCTCTCCCGCCCTTCCCCCCACCCGTTCCTCCCTGCCACAAGCCCTGGGCTGTCTCACAGCTGGCGAGTCCACACAGCACCAATTTGAAGGGTACGAGCGTGTAACACAGGTGGTAGGCTTGTGGTATGATCTTCATGCAGTTGTCTTTGGCGTTATCAAAAACCCGCGCACACTTCGAGTAAGGGTTGCCCAGCTCTGAGTTGCAGACGTCACCAATGTGGAGGAGCCAATACCACACATTCCTCAGGGCCCTGGCTGGGGACAGTCGTGGAGCTGCTACTCAGGGACAGAGTCCCACTGCTTCTCCTTCTCTGGGGCGTGGGGAACATCAGTTGGTACCCAGAGTTGGAGAGGCCTGAAGTTGGGGCCCCACTGGGCTGTATCCATGGGAACAGTCAGCATCAGGAGGCCCGAGCAGGCAGGGACAGGAGTGAGGGCCAAGACCTCCAAATTCAGTCTTGCCATGAGCTCACCCACGTGCTTCACGCCGTCCATGATTGAGCGAAAGAACTTGCGGATCCGGTCAGCCACCACTTTGGCCTGGCGGGCAATAGCTTTAATCTTGTTCAGAGCACCTGTGAGAGAGGGGAAGAGATACTGTGGGGCCTTCTCCAGGTTCTAGGGGCCAGTTCTTGCCATTGCCTTTGCTAGGGAGGGGTGAAAGGGGTTGGGGAGCCTGGAAGAGGTCAGAGATCAGTGATGCAGGGGTTAGGGGGGGAGATGGCTCAGTGGAATAAGCGCTTCCCTGGAGGGCCTGAGTTCAATCCCTGGTTCCGCAAAAAAAAAAAAAAAAAAAGATGCAAGGGTTTTGTTTCAAGGCTGGTTGCTTTGAGGTGAGGACACAGGAATGAGGTAAAGGGCTGCAGACCATGCAGGATGAGGGGATGCAGGGGTCTGGGGCTTACTGACGAGGGGTTGCCTGGCCTGCTCCAGCACCTCCGCAGTCTGGTTCAAAGCCAGCTCTGCCCCACACGCCACAGCCTCACTGGCCTGGGAGAAGTTGTGCAGAGTGTTGGCACAAGGCCCTTGGAGCACCAACCCAAAGGCAGCCACCAACAGCAGCATCCGGCCATGCCCTAAGGAGACAGCTCTGAACATAGCAGCAAGAAGACCCTTGCCAGACACTGCCCTCTACCCCAAGCCCTGCCCTTTGCCCCAAGTGCCAGGCTCACTGGAGAAGGCCTGGGGAAGCATCAGAAAGACAGTGGCTCGGATTTGGCGGGAGAACCCCATGCCCAGGCTAAGAAAGGCAGCCAGCGTGACTGTGCCCACCAGGCAGGCCCAGGGGCTATGGCCCTCCACCAGCAGCTCCAGGAGTCCATAGGCCGTGGCCAGGGACAAGCCCAGGGTGAAGCCACCCACACTTCGGACCAAGGCCCGGGCCATGCTAGGCTCTTCTGCCGCTAGGGGTAGTACGACATCCCCCATAGCTTTGGGCATGGCTGTGGGAACCACAGCTCCTGTCTCTAGGAGAGGCCCCGGGTTCTGGGGCCCTGGAATTCCTCACTCTACCCAGAGATTCCGGAGGGATCTCTGGAGTCTGTGTGTGTCTCAGAATCCCTTACCTGTCCTAAGGGCTGGGTAGGGGAGTGGTCCTCCAGTCTTCTCCCTCATCTCAGAGCTGAGGGACCCAAAGACACAGACTCAGAGAGGGGCTGCGAGTGGGGCAGGATGGCCCCTCCCTCCTCTTCCAGGATGGTGCTTCTAAGGAAAGCCTTGAGGAGACTTCTGGGACCCGAGAGGGCTCCACAGAACAGATCTCCGGATGTTAAACACCATCAGAGCAGAGTCTGGGGGCAAAGAAGGAGACCACCCCATACCAGTAAGATGGACACCAGAGACCCCTTTCAGCCTCTCTTCTTTTTTGTTTTCTTTTTTGGAGACAGAGCCTCAATACATAGCTCAGGCTGACCTCAAACTCCCTGGCCCACCCCAACCCACTCCCTATTACTATTGCTGATTATTATTATTATTATTATTATTATTATTATTATTATTATTATTTTAGATGAGGTCTCACTATGTAGTGCAAGCTGTCCTTGAATTCTTTTTTTTTTTTTTTTAGACAGGGTTTCACAATGCAGCTTAGGCTGGCCTTGAGCTCACTTTGTAGCCCAGGGTGGTCTTCAACTCAAAAAGATCCTCCTGTCTCTGCCTCCCAAGTGCTGGGATTACAGGCATGCACCACCCTGCTGACTTTATTTTGTATTGAAACAGGGTCTTCTTATAGTTTAAGACAATGTGTACCATTCTACCAGGTGTCCTTCTCTTCCTCAATCCTGTCCCACTTCTTCAAAATCCTTTATTCTCCTCCAGGGTGCACTAAGTTCCCCCAACCAACCTCCAGTTTACCCCAACCTCTATCCCCCTATAAGCCCCCAACCCTAGTGAGCCTAGTCCAGCCAGGAGAGAGGGCTGTGAGTCTAACTTCCCTCCTCTCAGCTGTGCAGAGGCTCCTGAGTTGGGGGCTGCCAGAGCTCTGCAGCCGGTTCCTGTGGCGCCAGCCAGGCGAGTTCCCTGTCACAGCCTTCCTGCTGGGAGCTGGCACTGGGGGGCTCCTAGCCATAGGTGAGAGTGGAAGCAGAGGCTGGGTGCAAGGGCTGGATCAAGACTGAGGCCACAGACCTTCAGCTTCACCCCGTGCCCTCAGGTCTCTTTCAGCTCCTGGTGAACCCCATGAATATCTATGAAGAACAGAAGATGGTGGTATTGTACGGCTTGGTGGGTTAGTGCCAGTCCAAGACTAGGGTGTTCAAGGTCTGCGGAGTGTGGCCCAGTCCTGGGTACCTGGGGGAGTTAGAGCTCAATCATTCTGCACATCAACACCTCATGCCTTCAGCCTCCTCTTGGACTTTAGGGGAAATCCTGGGGGAAGAGGCCCCAGCCAAAGGCCTTATCTTCAGTGAGTCTCCTCCATTTGAGGGGCACCCCACAATCCCATCTTTTTTTTTTTTTTTTTCGGAACCAGGGATTGAACTCAGGCCCTTGTGCTTGCCAAGAAAGCGCTTATTCTACTGAGTTATCTCCCCAGCCCTGCACCCCACAATCCCAACCTCACACCACCCTTCCTAACCTCCCTGGGTCTGGAGGTAGAGTACTTGCCTAGCATGCACAAGGGCCTGGATTCAATTCCATCCCCAGAACCACAAAACAGAGAAGGGAGAGACAGATAGAAAGAGAAAGAGAGGAAGAGGGAGACGGAGAGGGAGAAGGAGAGGGAGAGAGGATTTCTGATGGTGACAAATGGGGTGAAATATGACCAGGGATGTGATATAATGTGGCTGGGGCTAGCTTGAGAGATTAGGGAAGACTTCTCAGAGAAGGTGACTTCGTGATGGAGAGACGTAGGGTCTCACAGGTGAGGCAAGCACCTGCTACTGCTTGTTATCCCAAACTAAAGATGATTCTTAAATGGAGATCTTGGGCTTCCAGATCAGAAAACCCACCTAAAAGTGGTTGAATTGTGGAGCAAGTTTATTATCTCATAGGACAAAAATCAGTGTAGAATGGTTTTGGAGTTTGATAATTCATTAACTGGATGACCCCATTAAACAGCCAGGTTCCTTCTATCTTTTCTCTCTGCCCCTTGCGGTGCAGCCTGTCATCCACTCCAAGTCAGGACACAATATGGCAGCAACAATTCCAAGCATCCCATCATGTTTTTTGTTTGTTTGTTTGTTTTTGTTTTAGTACATCTTTGCAATATGTAATATATGTAATAATTGCATTTATCTTGGGGAGTTGGTAAATACACATATGGAATTTTGATCATTTTACTTGCCCCACTCTCCTCTTCCTCCTCCCACCTCCACAGAGTCAGCCTCCCTGTTCCTTGCTATCTTAATTAATTAATTAATTTATTTATTGACGGAACCAGAGATTGAACTCAGGCCCTTGCACTTGCCAGGGAAGCACTTATTCCACTGAGCCATCTCCCCGGCCCCTCTTACTATCTTTTGTTTGTTTTTTGTTTTGGTTTTGTATTTTGCAGTACTGGGGATTGAACTCAGGACCCTGAACTTGCCAGGCAAATGCTAATTCTACTGAGCTATCTCCCTGGGCCCTGTTTTTTTTTTTTTTTGTTTGTTTGTTTGTTTTTTTATTTTTGTCTGTGGTACCTGGAATTGAACGCAAGACCTTGCGCTTGCCAGGCAAGCATTTATTCTACTGAGTTATCTTCCAGCTCTTACTATTTTTTTATTTTCATCTTAAAATTACTACTACTATTATTTATTAATTTAGTACAGGGTTTCACTATACAGGTCAGACTCGTGGAGATCCTCCTGTTTTCAGCCTTCCCGGCACTAGGATTACAGGCATCTGTCACCACACCTGGACTCAGTGTGAGTTCAGCTAGCTGGGGTGGGGCGGGCATGGCATGTAGTACTGGGGATCCAACCCCAGTCCTCGAGCTTGCCTAAGTAGGTGCTTAGTCCATTAAAAAAA